CCTCCTCCCACGACCCTTCGTCCTAGATGAAGCAATGGTCTTAGCAGAGTGACTTTAGTAAGGCTATCTAAGTGATAAAGCTGGCTTCATTTTAAGAGTTATAACTACCAGTTAATCTGCCCCTTTGTTTAGGCTATTATGTGTTATAGGAAAACTGGTTTGACACTCAAATCACAAAACAAACTGTATCATACTGTGTGGATTATACGAAGGTTAAAAGAATGCATGAACAATTTTTGAATGCCTTAGTCTAACCTAATAAGTATAATATTTTCTTCTAGTGCATGAATATAAAAATATACAAATGACATCACGATTGATTAACAAAAATTAGCGAAGATTAAGGATAGGAAAATAATGTGGGATGTACACTAACTTTAGGATTGACTTATAATTGTTATTGTTATACATTTTAATTATATTCTTGGATTTTTTCCAGGAGAATTAGGCAGTAGACACATGTTCCTGCTGGGAGCCTATTTTTACTTTATGAACTAGAGATACTAATCTTTTGTGCTTTTATTTCTAGACTGTGGTTGTGAAAATGGTGGAACATGTGCAGATGGTAAATGCATTTGTCCGAAAGGCTTTAAAGGTCCTAAATGCGAAGGTAAGCAATACTTAACTTACTTGACTATCTGGGATGAAGGCAGGTTTCAGCAGGGTGTGGTGTAAGCAGTTTTAACAAATAAAATAAAGGATCTAGGGAATGCCTAGGACTCAGACAGGCCCAGGGGCCAAAGCCCAAGTAGGAATACCATTGGGGTGAAAACCTACCTGAAGATGTCATTTTTAAATTGCCATACCAATAATTATAGTACTTGAATGAATCATTTCAAACATGCCCTTAAATAAAAAGTTAATTTACTCAATTGTCAATTGTACTGTGAAAAGATGCTTCTGATGAGATCTAAACCTATGCCTCTAATCCTCTGGAACTTTCTCTCATACAACTGGCTTTTGCACTCACACATAGTATAGCTAGAAACGAGCTTGTCAATCGCAGCTAAGAAACCATATACAGTAAGTACTGTAATACTTAAATTTGGTTTGCTGCTTAGTACTTTAAACACAAAGAAAACAAATAAAAAATACTTTCAGTACTTTAGTACTGATTTTCAAAGTGATATAGTGACGAGAATCATATACAGTATAAAAAAACAATGAATCCAAAAATATATTATATGAAATAAAATATAAAAAAAGAGAAGAGTCATTTATGTAAAATATTATTTTTAATGATTTTTGGAATGAAAACATTGACTTCTCTTTGAAATTAATTTTTAATTTGTTAAATAGTTCATTCCAGCTTTTGGATGAGTGATATATAAATGTTCAAGCATACAATATATAATGAACATGCTTTGTACGAATACAAGGATAATAATAATAAATATGAAGTATTCATCGAGAAATCATCGTAACCTTGTAAATTACAATGGCCTGTGGCTAAATCTTGATTGAGTGATGCCCCTGCGACGTCATCACAAATCTACTTGAGAGCGTCTACATAACAAAAGCGCACAAGATTCATAATTTTAAAAATTGGATATTTGTAACTGAGTATGCTAAATAAGTTCTCAAATTATATAAAATTTGGTAAACAGCTTCTTTAAAAGCCAATCTGGCATACTATTAAGGCTAAATAATGATTGGCCGAAGGATAAAGCTTGGGACACTTTAGGTAACTTTCACATAAAATGCCTGAAGTCTGGCATGATTCAAAATGGTTTGAGAGTTATTTCACAACCAGCATATGCTCAAGCCAGGTAAATTCATCACACACACTTGTACTTGAGATATTTTTTTATTGGTTTATTTATTATCAGTAGTTTTTAATATCTTAAATTTGTTTCCTTATTTTCAGAAAAAGATACAAACGTTATAGTTATAATGTGTGAGTTATATTTTATTATCATCCATCTTAACAACCATGAATTTATTATGCAAATGTATACTATATTTGACTTGATAAATGATTTCTTGTGTTTTAGAAATTACATTTTCTATATCTGGCATACTATGAATATGGTGTTTCTTTTAAATTTCAATATTATTTCATTATTCAGAATGAAAAGAAGTTTATCTGTGTTAGTCTAATTTTGATACAAAATAAATGATGACAGGAATTTGGCACTTTAAGGACTGAAGATTTATTTAGCTCTAGCTTTTATCCACTTCTTCAGGAGATAAGTGTGATAGAAAACATCTATACTTTACTATACAGGAGAGGGCTAAAACTGTAGGCAACTGAAATTGAATAGCGACTAATCTTAAGACCTGGTTACACTGACGATAATGATAAAAAACTAAAAAGCAATAGAGGGATTTGGCGATGTTTGTTTACAGCCAGTCACGTGATCTACGGTGGGTGTACCATGAAAAACATTACAGTACGAACAGTGTGAAAGTGTAGTACAGTTGAACTTGCCTAAGGGTCATTCCATATGAACTCAACCAAAGTTGAAAAATGTTTGCAGGTGACCGACTCCGATTTAGCTCAAATTTATTTTAGAGATACCTTTACATGAATAATGAACACAGCAGATTCTGAAAGCCTGGGCCAGAAATACCCTGTATACCAAATTTCAGCCCCTAACTCTGTCTCATTACCAAGATATTGACCTCCAAAAACCCTGTAAATTGAAGTTTGCGATTCGCGAGGACGAAAAGGGAGCGTGGCACCCGATTTTTTTGGGGGGCCGTAACTCCGAAACCACTTGGAGTGAAAGTCTAGAATTTTGCATGTGTTTATTATTCATATAGATTGAGTTCATATTGAATGACCCCTAAGTCGAATCAATGCCATTTAAAAATTGTTGGACTTAGATAAAATTCAACTTACAGTTGTTTATTAATGGAAAACACAACAATTTGGCATGTAAAATAAGTTCAACTTAGAAATTATTCAAGTTAGGCAAGTTTAACTGTAAAAGGTAATGTTATGGTTTTGAAAAGAATCACCCACTGTTAACATGAGAAATTAATGGCAAGGAAAGGCAATACGATTATTCAAAATAGTGTTCCTTATTTATACTTATCCTGGCGTTCTCCTTGCATTGTATGCTTTGAAATTTATGTGATCCTTCGTAATCCTCAGCTAGCCTAGAAATCGTAGCATAGTCGGCGAGTTGACAATTCTTGTGCATAACTAAACAGGCCGTAGATATGCAGGGGCCTAGGCTTAACATTTCAAATTCCCTTGGACCACAAGTCACACAAAGTTTGTGTGGTGAATTTTGGGACATCAACAATCGACATAGAGTAACCTAAATTATGTTCAAAAGAACAAATTCAGCAATTATGATGATCTTTACAGCAATAACATGCGACATCCGCTATAGAAATCTCCGCTGTGTAAGTCCATTGTTTATATCCAACACCCAAGTTAAGTCATGTGACGTCCATCACCGAATCCCTCTATTGTTCATATAGACAATAAGAAATAAGAGAATTTTTTACACCAGCACAATTTGATAACGATTTATCATGTAGTGTATACGATAACAACATATTTTCACAAATCACATCAAATGACATCATAATCATCCAAAACAATAAAATTGTGGTAGTAAGCACAATTTTATAATTTTTCCATGAAAAACATAATGTTTGTTTTAATTTTGGAATTTCTCTTGCAGTTGCCACTTTAGGAGGCTGTGTTGTTCTTGTAGGAATTAGTTTTGGTGGTCATCATGTCTACAGTAAGTTTGACAACTTTTAGTATCATAAATACACAGGTGTAAATCCATCTTTGTCAACGATCACCATGGGAATGGCCTCAATTCCAGGGTAGAAATAATATTGTTACTACTACTATACTGCTGGCCGTATTGAAAGGAGTGGATTTCGCTCGGCTTAATGGGTTGTAGTTGGCGCAGCATTGTCTGCTCAGATTTTCAACCTCTGTGGTTGGGAGTTCGAGTCTGATGCTGTCCACTTCTGCCAGTCCTAGATACCTCAGCTTGCATTGTGGACGGGCTGTATAAAATTTTCCACCTAAATGCTTTGTTTTAAGCATACAAGATCAGGCCCATCCTTTGCAGGGCCTTGCTATAGGGTTAAACATTTGCCCTGCATCCTCTAATTTAAAAAAAAAAAAAACATTTACTTGATTTTGTTTGCATTTGTAGGTTATTTTCGCAAAGGTGTTTCCGACATCAGACCTACACAATATATTTTTCCTACACATATCAAAGATATTTTGTGCCATAGTTTCACATTTTGGTATAAAGTACAAAACTTGGCCTCTTTTTTTTTTTTGCCAAAAAACAAATATTTAATTTTAACTTTATGGCCCATTAAATATTCTACGAATATGTCTAGAATTTTGCTTTCAGTGTAAAAGACGTATTATAGAGATGAGAAGTCTGATAACGATTAATACACAATTTGGTCATAATTTTACATGTACCATACTACTGGCTGATTTGGCCCAGGTCAAATTAGGCCACAATTTATGTTGCAGCTAAAATATATTCCCCGAAGAATGGTTCTTCACATGGTATTGATTTCCTTTTATCTTTTTTTTTTTTTCTTCATTTTAACAAATTTAGGGGGGCCCGGTCTTGCTTGGCCATACCTTGAAGCCGTCATTGTATACCATCAATATATTAGTACATGGACATAAAATTCTTAAGGCAAGAATGAGATAATACATAGTTTTTGCCGCACAAAGTTAACCTGAACTTAAACGTTAGTACCCAGCATGCAGCGTGCTAGCTCCACCCCTTTTGTAAACAAATTGAAATATGCATGCACAAACCTGTAATTAAGTACGTTGAGCACGTAAAATTCTGAAATTAACATACCCCGCAACGCAAGATGAATAAATTATGACGCTATCCATTAACGTTAAGGTTAACACAGTGTGGCAAATGCTACCTTTTGTAAATATTTGTAAGATAGTATAATACATACTCCAAGTATCAAAATGCACACTATCATTGTACATCATCAGTAGAAACACACCCTTAGAGGAATGATCTCCCAATTAGAAATAAAAACTGCCTACCCCCATTAAGTTTCCAAAATGGTAATCTATTTTTTGACAATGAAAATGGGAAATGAATGTGTATTGAATGTGAATGCACTGATTACAGAAGTGTAGGTGCATTATTATCCCACAGGGAGCTCAGTATGTATTCCCAGTATGTATATCCAGAGGCTCCAGTGCCTCGGGTAGTATGTATGATCTCGGGACCTAGAAGTGACAATACTGCACAGTATATTATGCAATTAATTTGACCATTCTACAGCTTTGTAATATATATCTTATATATATCTTATTCTTTTATATGAAGAATCAAAGAATTCAAAAAAACCGTGAGTATACAAATATGGTTTTCAATTTGTTATTAAATTAAATGCATTTAAACATTTTCATATCATTTACAAGTTACTTCACAATTGTTGATTTAATAAATATTGCAAAATAATTGCATGCATCAAGTAAAGCACTGCAATGCACTATACTAACTACTAAATATTGTTTTTACATTCTGTAAAATTGTTTTATTATTATTATTAGGCTTATTATTATTATTGAGTTATTATTATTGTTGTTGTTAGGGATATTATTACTATTGAGATTATTATTACTGTCATAATATTTTTGCTAATAAGCTCTAATTACTTTTGAAAGTTATTTTATATTGGCATTGTGGTGAACTTTCACTATTACTAACATTTTTTAACTTCGTCATTAAGTGAATAACTTCTGTTTTAGTAAATGGGCATGTGATACCTTCTTGGTAGATAATACTTGCATGTTGTGGTTCACTTAATCATCCTGTTTATGTAACATGAATGTTATTTCTTCCTTATCATCTTTACCTTTTTCTGTGACATACACAGGTTCCTTTGTAATAATCAAGAAATTATTTTTTAGTACCTTGTGTTAGAGCACCCTCACACTTATAATTCATAAGTAAACAAGCATAACATTAGTGACCTGAAGCTTAACATAGTTTGTTTTCTGCACTGTTCATTCACTATTTTATATTTTTGTTGCTCATGTCTCCCTCTAATGAATGACCCCTCCAATTAAAGACCTCCATTCTGTGGTCCCAAATTAACAAAACGTTATTTTAACTTTATTCTGAGGGACCAAAGCTGCTTAAGACCATGGAAATCCCAGTCCCAAAAGTGATTAATTGGGGGGAGACATGTAATTTTAACATTAATCATTTTCCAATAATATTACATTAATTATTCTTTTATAACAACATTAGATTCTATAAAATATTTGAAATAGGCTGTGATCTTGATGCTTGATTCGCTTGTTCATTCTATAATTACTTAGATTGTTGAATATTGTTTTAATTTAAATACAAATAAACTCAATACTTTTTAACAATAATTATTAAGTTTAAAATAATTCTTTTTAATTATGACTCATCGTGAGACTGATATGTTTTTTACTTAATGATCTGATTGTATGAGTAGCAAACCAAGAAATGTACTAATCAGATTTAAGAGTTCACTGTGTTTAACCTACACTGCAATAGGTCAAATGACCCAACATCAGACCCTGTTGTCCCACAAGGTGACGTTGAAATGAAACAACCAGATTCAAATTCAGACTTAAAGAGATATGCAGCAAGTGGTGGACATTTGTACACACAGGTTAGCTTCGAGGATAAAAAGAAAAAACCCGATAGTGACAACGGATCTAATAAGCCTACAGCCGTTGACGTAAGTATACAGATGTTTGAGCCTCAAACATTTTAGCTGAAACCCCAAAGTTTTGTGTTATTGTGAATTTGTTTAGTATTCTAATGTTGAGATATTTTCTAGCACATGCCAAGTTGAGTCTCTGTTTGTTCAGTGTGTGTGAACATAATAAACATTCATTGCTTTATGCAATATAATAATCTGTACTATAAAACTAGGTAATATCCAATTCTATGGTGAGATATAAAATTCATTATTTGTATTGCGTACTTATATATTTCCAGTAAGTCAGAATAAGAAAAAGACACTGTTTATTTGCATAGATCCCTATGTCTTGATCTGTTGTTTCTGGACCTTAAACTTATTTGAACATATTAAATCAGCTATTAACAATATTACAATACAGTATATCACAGTAAAAATACCACCACAAAATTTATAACTTGATTTGGTGTAAATGATTTTCTTGTTTATTGAAATTCGAGTGAAGTTCGTAGGCCCATCGCCAACCATCCGTTGTTGTGTGGGAATGATCGCACCTTCATTCCTGCGAGTTAGCAAGGTATCTGTTGTCAACAATTGAATGGGAAGAGTTGGCCTGAAGGCCTGCATATAATGTACGGATTGTCACTTCAACTCGCAGATCTCTCTTGATCTAAACTGTAAACCGGTTACCGTATGTATTGAAATAAGGAACTGATTGATCTTAATTCTAAAAATACAGAAACACTTCCACCAGAACTTATTACTCTACTTGGTGTTTACAGGATTTCTAGATCGGAACCTGAACCTAGCCTAGGCCCAATCCTTAAAAAGCTTAGGCCTATTCATAAACGGAGTAAAAGGAGACCAAGGAGAGGTAGGAGAGCTGGATGGAATATGAAGAAGAAGATTGAAGTTATGATATCACAGCGTGAAATGAAACCTCGGCCTCCTATGAACAGACCGGTACAATGCCAATTAACCAAAGTTAAGATTACGAAAAAAAAAAGATGGAACCCCAACTGCCATCTTGTCTAGTCACCAACCCTCAATCTGTTTGCAATAAAATGGAAGACTTCGAAGTTGTCCTAAAGCAAAACTGTATCTAAATATGTATATTAAGTGAAACATGGTTCAGTCCACATAAAGTGTTGCAAATTCATGGATATGGGTTATTCTATAAAAGCCATGTTGCTAGAAGGGCGGTGGTGTGGCAGTCTTCGTTAGCAATGACATACCCAACAAGGAGGTCAGTAACATTATTACTGTACCTGATAACCTAGAATGTGTCTAGGTTAGAATTGAACCCTTCCGGTTACCCAGAAATATTTCAGCAGTCTCTTTTAAACCATTGAATTAGCTCAATTGACATAATATGGTCTAAGAACACTTTGGCAAAAGTTATAATCGTAGGGATCCAAATGATTTTGATGTAACACCATTGACTAGACAAACGATTTACATCAAGTTGTCAAAGGCAGTACCAGAGGTGAGAAAGTCTTGGACTTAATTTTGACCGACCTTAAAGAATTTTATTCTCAGCCTGTTAACCAGGCCCCCTTGGGAACTAATGACCATAACACGATTTTATGGTATCCATGTTTGGATTCATGTAAGAACCCTGGAAAAATTGTATCAAAATCTATACAGCCCCTGACAGACTCTGCAATAAGAAGCTTCGGAAGATGGATAATCAATGAGAATTGGTCGTCTGTGTATTCAGCAAATGGTACTGAAACTAGAGCTAGAGTCTTTGGTGATCTTCTTATAAATGCATTTAACTCACACTTCCCTGTAAAAGAAATCAAAGTATTTAGCGCTGACAGACTATGGATCACAACGCACATAAAAAAACTAATTCGCAATAGGCAACGAGTATTTACAGAGGGTGACATGATTTTATATAAAAATCTTTGAAACAAGGTTAAGTGGGAAATCCAAAAAGCTAAACAAAGGTACTACAAGTATCAAGTCAAGCAACTTGAGAACGCACAGCGTGCAACTTGGTATAAGAAAATTAAACAAATTTGTGGTAAAACAAAGGGTCAACCAAATATCAGCTTTGGAACAAATATCACCAACCAAGAAGCGTCCAACAAGGTTAATGAACATTTAGCTCTTATTTGTCAGCAACTTCCTCCATTGGAAATTGAGCTACTGCCTTGGTATTTACCAGCTAGGGACACCTCCGCCTCAATTATCTATCGGGCAAGTGTACAGAGAGCTCCTTAAAGTAAAACAAAGAAAAGCTCTTCCTCCAGGTGACTTATCGTCTGTGAGTTTGCTAGTGAAATTGCAGAGCCGCTTACCGTGATTTTTAATTCGTCTATTTCTGAATCTGTTGTCCCTTCATCATGGAAGTTGGCTACAATTATACCCATACCAAAAGTAAATGGTCCTGTTAGTATTGACCAAGTCAGACCAATTTCTCTGACACCAGTTTTTAGCAGAATTTTGGAACACTTTATGGTCTTGTGGCTTAACTCAGATCTCTATAACATCATTGACAGAAAACAGTATGGTAATGTTAAGGGAGTCAGCACTAATCATTACCTTGTATGCCTTCTACATTTTATTCTTAACGGATTAGACGGATCATAAGGCGCGGATCTTTGCTATTGACTATAGTAAAGTATTTGATCGAATCAACCATACCATACTTATAAATAAATTATTTAAACTTGGAGTTCGAAAATCTGTTATTCAGTGGTATTGCAATTTTTTATCAGAATGTCATGTATCATGGCACACTGTCTAAGTGGAGCCCAATCACATGTGGTGTGCCACAAGGCACAAAGTCAGGACTATCACTTTTTCAAGTAATGGTGAACGATTCTGCACTCGACTGCCCTAGCAGGTGAAAGTTAGTAGATGACCTTACTTTAGTTAACATATCTAGGAAAAATGAAATTGATAATTTACAAGGTCATCTAAACAGTTTGCTAGATTGGAGTAATTCTTCACAATAAAAGTATGCTTTAGTAGAACTCCCCCTGTTGTTGAGCCTCTTACCTGCAATGACTCTCTGATTCAATCCGTTTCTGAATTAAAACTCTTAGGCATTACCCTTCAGTCTAACCTGAAGGGGAATACCCATATTAAGGAATACAGATCATTTCGGTTCTATTTCTGGCTGTTTATTTACGTTTACTTTTTAGCTGTTGCTTATCATTTTTGTACCTCTACTGAGATCCAGCCTTTGTTTCCCACAGCATTGTTGTTTTTCAGTATTTTGCCTTTTAATCTATATATATACTGTGGAACGTTGGTACGTTGGTATTGCCCACCAGCACGCTGACTGTTTGCCTTTTGTAGGAACATTGTTGGATATTGCCCATCAGCACCCTGACCGTTTGGCTCCAGTAGGAACATTGGTTGGTATTGCACACCAACACCCAGACTGTTTTGCCTCAAGTGGAAACGTTGGTGGATATTGCCCACCAGGACCCAGACCATTTGGCTACAATAGGAACGTTGGTGAATATTGCCCACCAGCACCCTGACAAATTGGCTATAGTAGGAACGTTGGTCGGTATTGCCCATCATCACCTTCACCGTTTGCCTTCCCGCATTATCTTCCATTAATGGACAAACTTCAATGTGAACCTTGTGTCCAACTAGCCTAATATGATTTGCAACCAGTGCACAATTGTTTGGATGTGTGGCTTTCTTTTTAATTCATTAATTAAAAAAATTTAATATTTTTAATGATTTAGTTAAAATAAAGTTTTTGCATTATATTTTGCGTAACCCAGGATGGGATATCCCTCCGGGTCAGAGGGAACCTGAAACTCATCAAGGGTAAAGGCGTTCACTTCCCTATTTAGACCACACTTTGCCTAATGTAACGCCTGTCTCTTATACACATCTAGATGTGTATAAGAGACAGCGATATACAAGGCGAGAAGGTTTTTTCCCCTAAGAAAATCGCTAATTATTTCAATGTTTTTTTCACCAACATAGCTTCTAGCCTTGTCAGCAAGCTACCCAAATGTAATAACGTATTTGGTTCCAAATCGACAGCTTTTAGACGTCTCTATAGTTTAAATTCAAAAAACAGGTTTAAATTAAGACATGTTTCTGAAGAATTTATTAGAAAACAGATTAATGCACTTGATCATAACAAGAGCACGGGTCTTGACAATATCCCGACAAGATTCCTTAAGGATGGAGTAGACGTACTGGTAGGTCCCATTACTCATATTATTAATCTCTCTATAACCACCAATACTGTTCCGGAAAACTATCGACCAATCAGTATCCTCTCCTCCATCTCCAAAATTCTTGAACGGGCTATTGCCACCCAACTTGAAAAATACCTTGCCGATAACAATATTTTATTCAAATTTCAGTCTGGTTTTAGACAGGCCCACTCTACAGAGACATGCCCACTCTACAGAGACATGCCTGATCAATCTAATCGACGACCTGAAATCCAACATCACTAATGGCCTTTACACTGGAATGATCCTGATTGATCTACAAAAGGCCTTCGATACTGTCGACCACGAAATCCTTCTCGAAAAACTCGACTGTATGGGAATTGACTGTGTCAAATGGTTCAGGTCGTATCTATCCGATAGATCTCAGGTAGTCTCTCTGGAGGGCGCTTTTAGTGAACAACGTTTCATTTCATACGGCGTGCCTCAAGGAAGTATCCTTGGACCGCTTTTGTTCTTATGCTTCATTAATGATATGGAAATTTGTATTGATAATGACTGTAAACTGTTGCTATACGCAGACGACAGTGCTATTTTATACGCCCACCATGACCCTGATTATATTACAAGAAAACTGAGCAAGGTCCTTGACCAATGCCAACAATGGCTAATCAACAACAAATTATCAATAAATACTAAAAAAACTGAATTTATTATTTTTGCCTCTAAAACGAAACTTAAAAAAGTTAATTCATTCCAAATATCGATAAATGGCTTCACTGTTAAAGGAAGTAATTATGTTAAATATCTAAGAGTTAATATTGATAATGCAGTTAGCTGTAACTTAATTACAAATTATATTATTAAAAAAGTCAACTC